TAAATCATCTATTGTAGACTGGGACTAAGTCCCAGTCTACAATAGATGATTTAAGCCCTAAGCTTTAAGAAATTGGCCAATCACGGTCAAGTATGAGAAGAATGCGCGACTGTGATTAGTCAATTTCTTAAGGCTTAGGGCTTAAATCTCTATTGTAGACTGGGACTTAGACCCAGTCTACAATAGATGATTTAAGCCCTAAGCTTTAAGAAATTGGCCAATCACGGTCAAGTATGAGAAGAATGCGCGACTGTGATTAGTCAATTTCTTAAGGCTTAGGGCTTAAATCTCTATTGTAGACTGGGACTAACTCGTTATGTCGTCGTTACGGGCTTTGCGCAGATCTAATATACCGTAGAAAAGCTGCGCAAAGCCCGTAACGACGACATAACGAGTTACAGAATCACACTACAGGGGTGCTTTCGCGACGTAGATCAAAATGATCCGGATCAAAATGATCCGTGCTATGATTGGTCAAATCTGAAATTTCGTAGCATCTCATTGAAATTTTATTCAATGAAATTCCAGATTTGACCAATCATAGCACGGATCATTTTGATCCGGATCATTTTGATCTACGTCGCGAAAGCACCCCTGGGGTAAGGCTGAAATCACATGATGCAGAATAGGAGTACGGAATAGAGAGTGCGTTATAGAAACAGGCAATCAGAGCTTTGCCGTATCAACGAGTGACGGAAATGTCTGGCTCTGATTGGTTGCTTCTTTGACGCACGTTCTATTCCGCAGCTCTATTCTGCACCATGTGATTTCAGCCTAAAGGCCTTTGCACGTAAAAAAGCATTAACCGTAACCGTAATTTTAGTCCATAACCTACGGACCCTACGTAATTTTAGTCCGTAACCTTAGGAATTTTACTTGGGTTGCTCCATCTGTCTGTACGTGTTGAAAACTATGATTACGGACTAAAATTGCGGTTACGGTTAACGCTTTTTTACGTGCAAAGGCCTTAACAGTCACTGAAACAAAGGGAAAGTATGAATACTGGCCTAAGTAAACAAGCGGGTGAGAGCTTGCAAGTCGATTGGTTAAGAGCCATACGAGTAGCCAATCAACTTGCAACTTTTCTGCAAGAACAGAATATTCGCATGCGTTTCTTCTCCGAATAAATTGAAGAATCGAGCCCCTGTGGGTGAATCGCAACGCGATGAAAAAGAACCGCTCCCAAAGCGCGACACTGCTGGCCACACGTGTCATACGCACCCATTTCCGTGGATCGGCCGCACGCGTTGCAAACGCGAACGCATGTCCGCACGGCGGTGGGTTGCCGGCCACATCGATATGTATTGACATGCGCGCGACTGGCCGGCGCCATAGACAAACGCCACGTATTTTGTTATGTGCTAACCGTGTCGCCGCGTACCGGCGAGTGCACAACATACAGGAAGGTTTATCGCCGCGTTTCGTCCCAGCGGGGACGGAGACTCGTTGTTTGCTCAACGTCACTGTCGGTGTCCCGTTGCTCTCAAGGTCTCGTCGACGATGTCCGGCGTCCGCGTGTTGATCTGCGCTCTCGCGCTCTACCTGGGCGGCTGCTGCTCGGCTGCCGACCACCTCGTGGATCCGGACCTGGTCGTCCGCAACGTCGAGCGGCACATCGACCTGCAGTCCCAGCTGACCAAGATCACCACTCGGGTGGTGCTGGACAACAGCGGTAAGGACCGCGGCGTCCCGAGCTTCCTCTTCTGCCTGGACTTCGCCCAGAGCAGATCCATCAGTTACGTCGCGGCGCACGTGGAGCCCGGCAAGCTGGAGCTCAAGGTGACCGAGGCCAAGGTGGCGGCGTACCGCGACAGAACCTTCTACTCCGTTGATCTCGGCAACCACCTGGCGGCCCGGCGCACCCTCACCATCGAGCTGGAGACTGTGCTGACGCACGAGCTGGCGCCGCATCCCAAACAGATCACCCAGCAGGAGAAGCAGTTGGTCAGATACACGGGGAACGTGTACACCTGCCTGCCGTACGCCGTCACCAAGCAGACCACCTACGTCGCGCTGCCCACGCGCAATCTCGAGAGCTACACCAAGATCAAGCCGGTCTCCCAGACCGGCTCGATGCTCGCCTACGGGCCGTACGAGGCGCAGCCGCCGTTCGCCTACGAGGAGATGACGGTGCACTTCGAGAACAACAACAAGTTCCTGACGGTGACGCGGCTCGAGAGGATCATCGAGATCTCGCATTGGGGCAACGTGGCCGTCGAGGAGCACATCGACCTCCTGCACACCGGCGCGCTGCTCAAGGGCTCCTTCTCGCGCTACGAGTACGCCCGCGAGTCCAAGTCCGGCCAGGCCAGCATCCAGAGCTTCGACACCGTCCTGCCGGCGGCCGCCTCCGACATCTACTACCGCGACGAGATCGGCAACATCTCCACGTCGCACACCCGCGTCAAGAAGGACTCGGTCGAGCTGAACCTGCGGCCGCGGTTCCCGCTGTTCGGCGGCTGGAAAACCCGCTACACGATCGGCTACAACGTGCCCAGCTACGAGTACCTCTTCCACTCCGGGGACGAGTTCGTCCTGGAGATGCGGCTGCTGGATCACGTCTTCGACGACATGGTCGTAGACGAGATGGTCCTCAAGATAATCCTGCCGGAGGGCGCGCGGAACATCAAACTGGAGCTACCGTATCTCGCCACTCGGCTGCCCGACTCCCTGCACTACACGTATCTGGACGTGACGGGACGCCCGGTGGTCTCCGTGACCAAGAACAACCTGGTGGAGAATCACATTCAGAGTTTCAGGCTTAGGTACACGTTCCCGCGTCTGCTGATGCTGCAGGAGCCGCTCATGATCGTGCTGGCGCTCTGGCTCATGTTCCTCGCGGTCATAGTCTACGTGAGATGCGACTTCTCCATCGACAAGGACGAGGCGTCGGAGAGCAAGCTGAGGATCGCCGGGCAGTGCGAGAAGGTGCTCGCCGTTCAGGACCGCCGAATCGCGACCTACTACAGCCTGGAGGAGCAGCTGGCCTGCCTCAAGACCTCCAAGGACACCAACGTTTTCCTCTCCGCGATCAAGGGCATCAATCAGGATTACAAGGCGGCGAACAACGCGCTCAACGAGATCGCGCAGAAGATCAAGGGCGAGTCCAGCGACGTGTACGATCGCATACAGGAGCTGCAGAAGTGCGATCGTTATCTCAAAGAGGTCTACGGCCAGCTGCAGAGCCTGTACCTGGAGAAGCTCATCCCGGGCAAGATCAACCGGCAGCAGTTCATCGACATGGAGATGACCATCTCCAGGAAAAAGGAGGACTGCATCGAGAAGATCAACGCGATCGTCAAGTCGCTCCGGTAATCCGCGTACCGTGCGAGACTCCCCCAGGATTTCGAAAGCAACGACGGTGTTGCGTCTGCGATACTGCAAAACGCCGAACCTCGCACATCTGTTAATATTCCATTTCGCGAGCACCGAGCAAGGATTCCATACGTTCACGCGCGCGTCGAGTCACAAGGAAACTCTTGTCTGCATAGATTAAGCTTTATAATATATAGAGGAGGAGAAACACTGAACGAAACGTTTTGTTCGTTGTATTTGTTATTTTCAGGAAACGTTGTATCAATAAAGTAAACTTGTAAGAGATAACCGACGCTATTGTATACGTGTACGTCTCCAACAGTGTCCCTTGTAGAAAGACAAAGACGCTCGCCAAGCTCGAGCTAAGCTTGGAAAAAGAATGTTCAGCTGCAACTGGAAACTGTCTGGCAATTGTAATCTCCGTTACGGATTGGAGCCTGAGCTAGAATGGCTTGTATTCTTTTATTCTCAAGTCACAGGGCGGTTATTGCGCGTTACTTTAAGACAAAGATTTAAAATATGCGAGTTCACATTTAAAAATTACAAGTATGGGCTACCTACATCTTGCCTTGGACCCGCATTGGCCTTTTCTCGTGTGTTGCTTAGTTTTATTGAGGGTCTTTAAACTCTTACAAAACACCCAGTCAGCAAAATGTTAACAAATCGGCAGCGGATTCATCAGCGACTCGCGAAACTCTCGATTGTCCGAATTTACTCTCAAATTTGTGTAAATATTTAAATCTGGATGTTTACGCCCAAATTTGAGAGTAAATTCGGACAATCGAGAACTAACACTCAAAACTTGAGTGTTTTTTTTTCCGTAAGGGAACATACGCTGTCGGCAGAAACAGAGTAGATTTTTGCACCTTCGCACAGAAAATTGCATAGCTGCATACGCACAGCATAAGCCGTCCGGACCAATGAGCGTGTTATGTAAATCAATACGATTCAATGCTCGATGCTCATTGGTCAGACGGTTCTTGTGCATATGCAGCTGTGCAATTTTGCGAGCGATGACCCTTTGCTGTATTTCTGCCGACGTGCTGGCAACATGTCGAATCTATCAAGTCCCTGTACGCAATCTCCAGTCTTTATGCTTCCCTCGAAATTTCTAGCGGGCATTTGACGAAATCTGTTCTGGCAGATTTGGCTATCGGCCTGAAAGTATCCCAAGGAGAACGTAAAGTCAGAACGATGTCAATTTGATGTCGTTGACCAAATTTTGGTCAATATTGCATCAATTTGTCATAAATCTCGTCAATATGACGTCGAATTGACATCGTCCTGACTTTCTGTTCTCCTTGGGTACAAGATAGCCGTTCCGCTCGGGCCCTTGTGCGTAATAATTGCATCGCAATTATCGCAATCGCGGAGAAGAAAATTACGCAGCGGAGTCAGCTGCGAGGGCCCATCCCTCCGCCAGGTCGTCCGCGTCGGATTTTTATTTTCCAGCGGGCATCCAGGATCGCGAGTCGCGCGAGCGATCGCTGGCACGGGCTGATCGATGGCGCGCGGCGACGAGGACAGCGTCGGGACGGCGCACTACTGCGCATGAAGGCTACGTCAGTCCTCCATGTGTCGATCCAGCCGAGCCGGTCGGAACGGCGGACACCTGCTAACCTCTCCGTCTCTACCCGTCGCCTCGGCCGAGCGTGGACCGAGTCCCCGTCTAGGAGCGCCTCATGCTCGCAGCTAGAATGTCCAATTTGCGGAAATTCATAGGTAAGTCGGCGATCGTCCGCCCCGCGTACGCTTTCCGTCTCGCGGTTTAAGGTTATAGCGGGACCTGGGGCGCCCTTTCGAGCCGACCGAGTCCCGCTCGCTCTCGGTGGCTTCTCTCGTCCTCGTCTTCTCCGGGCAGACGCCCGGTGGCTCTTCTCGCGGAGCCCTTGGGTGCCCCGCGTAGGCGCGATAGATATCTCGGCGGCGCGCCGCTGCGTATCCGCGAACGCGGCGAACACCTCGCGTCGTTGCCTCGAGCGATTTGATCGGGGAACGAGGCGTTCTTCATCGCGCTGCGAACTGTTGCAGACATCGGGGCCAATTTAACGGATTCCATGTACCAGGGGATCTACCACGGGTCCCAGAAGCATCAGCCGGATTTGGATAAAGTTTTGGAGCGGAGCTGGAGCAACAATCTCTCCAAGATCATCATCACGGCCGGCAGCGTGGAGGACAGCAAGAAGGCCCTCGAGTTGGCGAGAACCGATGGCAAGTACCCCCGGACGTGAGAGATCGCCGATGTCTCTCTGCGTTCTCGAATTAACATTTTAGCCGTGGATCCCGCTGGTTGCGCAAAAGCCTCGTCTCACGACTCGAGGTAACTTCGCTTCGTTTTGGACGAGCGACTGATCGCCGATCCACCGGCAAATTGCAGACAGACTGTACTCGACGGTCGGCTGCCACCCGACCCGCTGCAACGAATTCGACGAGTGCGGCGACCCGGAGGAGTACCTGAAGTCGCTGTCGGACCTGGCGCTGAACAACAAGGACAAGGTGGTCGCCATCGGCGAGATGGGCCTCGACTACGACAGGCTCAACTTCTGCCCGAAGGAGACCCAGAAGAAGTACTTCGAGCTGCAACTGTCGTTGTGCTCGACGCTGAAGCTGCCGATGTTCCTGCACTGCCGCAACGCCAGCGACGACTTCGTGCGAATTCTGAGGAAGCACAAGAACGAGCTGACGCCGGGCGTCGTGCACTCGTTCGACGGCAATCCGGAGGACGCCAATTCCATACTACAGCTAGGCTTGTACATCGGCGTCAACGGATGGTAAGACGAGCCGGAGAGGGTGGAGAGAAGAGCGGTCCGATAATCTCGTCTCGTTTCAGCTCGTTGAAGACGGAGGAGAACCTATTCGCGATCACTACCATTCCTTCGGACAGGCTCATGATAGAGACCGACTGCCCATGGTGCGAGATCAGGCCAACGCACGCGTCCGCGAACGACGTTATCACGCACTTCCCGTCTGTGAAGAAGGAAAAGTGGCAGGCGGATCAGATGGTCAAAGGACGGAACGAGCCCTGCACGATAGTGTGAGTGCGCCTCCCTTCCCGCGGGTCGCGATTTAACATTACGCCACTAATTCCCGTAGCCTTTAAAGACCATGACGCGATCTCCACTACTTGCAGTCAAATATTGGAAGTCCTGGCGCGGATCAGAGACGAGGAGGAGGAGTACCTGTGCAATCAAATCTACAAGAATACCATGAAGCTCTTCTTCCCGTACGAATTGTAGTGCGCGAGTACTCGCCGCCGCGGTAACACGGGCGGACTCCAAGTGCGCTGACGTGACACGCATTCGCGAAAGTAATCAGGGATAAAAGCTGTGAACGTGAACGCAAGAACTAAGGAAGAAGAAAAAAGAAATAACAAGAAATAAGAGGCACGCCGCTGAATTTCTATTGAAGGGAGGAAATGAAGACACTCATTTTTACATACGTGGCTTTATATGGAAGTGGCTCAACGTCACTGTCCACAGATCTCTCTTCCCATGTAAAACTTTAATATATTCTTGTTAAAATTATATTATCATATCTCATATTCATCTATTGCGTTTCACCGCTATTATTACCATCATCTCATTTATTATTATTATATTATATTGCGATATTTATTAATACTATTCTGCTATTCCTAAAAATATCACCGTTGCTGCTGTTATTACTGCGACTCCGTCCCCCCCGTCATTCCGAAATGATTTTCCCTGTAATCATTTCTCGCTGCCCGTAGCAATTCTTCCCTTACTACGTCTACGAGATGTCACGAAAAGAATTTGTCTTATTCGATCATTCAATACAATCGAATGTATATTCAATCAAAATCCTCAAAATTATAGGTGAAAATACAAAATACTAAAGATCGCACTTTCAACGATTTGCGTACAGTAGATCTAACGTATGGAAAGATATACACACACGTATACATATATATATATATTACATAATAATTTCAAAGAAAGCGGCAGAAAAGTATTTATCTTAAAAAAATGTTCGCGATTGTTCGAAATGCATTGGAAGATCACCAAGTTTCCCGCGTCGGTGCCGACCAAAGCAAGATATAGATTTTCTCATCGAGATATCACAGGTGAAATGGCCGACGCATTCGTGATCTTCCGAAAAATATACATGTTAACGCTTCCGTGTCATAAATAATAAATGCCGAGTCGCGTGGTGAGGCGAGGAGGTGTTTCGTCATCGACGCAATAGTTATTCGTACAGCAAAACCATTGAATTCTCTTTTATTCATGGCACTTTGGAGAGAGTCTGCACTTTCTCGTACACCCAATCGTACGTCTGCACGGCGTACGACTGCGTCGTGTCGAAAGCCCATATGGCGTAACCGCGGAGGCTGTCCGGGCTGAGCTTGCCCCTGAAAAAGAGAAGAGAGGGTCACGGCCGGACGTCCGATTTTCCGCTGCCTCTGCGCAACGTGCGGACGTGCACTTACACGAAGACGTTCTTCTCCAGCCACTGTATCGACGCGGTGGAATGTTCAATAACTTTCTCCCCGATCAGAACGAAGGAAACTTTCACGAACTCCAGTCCCTGAACACTCCGGGATTTAATTTGTTCCAAGATCCCTGGAGCGTAATACTCGATCTGCAAAAAGGGAAAAAGGATCGTTACGAGGTGCGTCGATCGACAGAGATACTCGGCGAGTCACTTCATTGCACTTACCGTGTCCCGAATTACAGGTATATTCCTTTCGACGTACGCCGCAGCATTGTTGTACAGTTTAATCGAGAGATTTCTTAATACCAGGCCTAGATCGCCAGCTAATTTAACGTATGGTGCACACAAATCTACAACGGCTTTGTAATACTCCGGCGAGCTATCCTTAATTGCTTTGTGTCCTGCAGACCAATAGAACTTTAGAGTAGTCCACGCCTTTTCTACGTGTTTCAATATCCCGCTAGTTTTCAAGAACTTTCCAACTTGGGATGCTACAATAACATAAAAAGCCAATGTACAATAAGGTAAAGAAAATACAATTTGTATCGCCAATTTGGTTACAAGAGCGGTTAGAGAGGCAGCGATGATGGTCGATGATGTTGATGATGGCAATGGATATGACGTCAGTGAACCATTACTATTTAACGAGTTGTGTCAAACGCAAGGCACGATAACGATTCTCCCCCCCGAGGATGACAAAAGATTTTTATCGAGACGCGCAGAAACGAATAGAACTCAGTCTCGGTCTGCAATAGATGCTTTAAGCTCCAAGCCTCAAGAAATTAACTAATCGCATTCGAGCATTCGCCTCGCACTCGACTGCGATTGGTAAATTTCTCAAGGCTCGGGTCTTAAGTCACTTACGGACTGGGACTTGACGAAGTTGTACTATCAACGATTCTCCCCCGAAGATGACAACCTAATGACAAAAGTATCGAATCGAGATGTGCAGAAATGAGTAGAATTCAGTCTCGGTCTGCAAAAAGTGCTTAAGCTCTGAGCATCAAGAAATTATCTAATCGCATTCGAGCATTCGCCTCGCACTCGACTGCGACTGATAAATTCCTCAAGGCTCAGCGGGTCAATTGCTCAAATCGAAATGCTAAAAGTGAACAGCTTCGTCTCTTCCTAACCGTCCCCTTAGAAAGAGGCAAAGCCGCTGACTTTTAGCATTTTCGCTGTACTGTAAGATACACAGAATTGACCCCCCGGGTCTTAAATCACTCGTAGTAGACTGGGACTTGAGAGCAAGTTGTACTATCAAGTGCAGGGCGCGAAAGCCACGGCCAACGGTTCTCCCCGCGGATGACAACCTAGTGACAAAAGAGTCGAATCGAGATGTGCAGAAATGTATGGAAGTTTAGCCAAGTTTAGAAGCGCGCAAAATGAGGATGACAGGATGACACGCGAGGCGAGAAGCGAGCGAGAAACGCGGTGGTTCGCAGGGGGAAGCTCTTACCCTCGAAGGAGCCATGCTTCTGCGTGTCGTACGCCACGATAGCGCCGATCAGCAGCAACAGGAGGAGGCTAGCAGATCTCCATGGAAAGCCGCGGCTGGAGGACGTCATTTTCTTCAGTAGTACCTGAAAGAACGAGGCGATGTGTGAGGCGCGTTCGTTTCTCAGCGAGAGACTGCTTCACCCCGCTCCGCCCAACTTCGAAAAACGTCACGGAGATCTCGCGTCAAATCAAATCGCTCTCTCTCTCTCTTTCTCTCTCCGCCACGCCGGCGAGTTCTAATCTCGCTCGATCAACGGCGATCACGATTTCGATACGCGTTGGCGCGATGACTTGGAGATCGACGCGACGGGCGATCGAACGACGACGCGTTTCCTGCGCGAGACCGCGAACCACCTCGTCATCGGCCGAGGAAGCCTCTCCGCGAGAGAGCACGTCCGATCCACGCGGCGTGAACCGCGCGCGGAAACACACACACTCTCTCTCTCTCTTTCTCTTACCTGCGGAAAATCAGGAGGACGCGTTTACTCGCGCGCGGGTAAATAATCCTCGTCCGCGCGCTGCGTGACAGAGGGAGGGCGGGCGGGGGAAACGAGAGAGAGAGAAAAAAAGGAAAAACGGACGAAGCCGCGCAGCGCGTGCCGTGCCGTGCGAGCGGTGCCCAGTGTCGTCACACGCCGACCGACCGAGGGGGGCGACGCGGCGATCAATAGTCGCGTACGCGCGTGCACCACGCTCCCGAAAACGATGGCTCCGCGCGCTGCTCCCGCGTCACGCTTCTACGATCGCGGGGCCCGAGTCGCGCTCGCGCGGCGGGCGGGAACACCCTCCGTCGAGGCGTCGAGATCCGTTAGGAATCCGGTCTCGCGCGCGCCCAATTTCGCGCGAATCCCTCTCTCGAAACCGCGTCTCTCTCTCTCTCTCTCTTTGCCCCCCTTTTTTCCTTCCCTGCGACGCAGATCTGGGGCTCGGACGAGCGAGATTCACGGAATCCAAGACGGACGGACCGTTGGTCCCCCGTCGAGACGCTGGCTGGCTCGCGTAGCACGCAGGCGGACGTTGTCGCTTTGTCTTTTTTACCGAGGTAGAACTGACAGTTCCGTTTATCACCCCTCTCTCTCTCTCTCTCTCTCTCTCTCTCTCTCTCTTTCAAGGTTCGAGATCGAGTTTCGGAAAGGTCGTTCCTCCTCGCCGAGGCGCCGAAAACGGAGCGACGCGTCTCGCATGGACGTGGAAGATGCACCGAGAGAGAAAGAGAGAACGCGCGAGCGTAGGAAAAAAAATTCGAATCTACCGAACGTTAGGGTTTACGGCTCTCCTATTGCTCCCTTGTTGCCGATAACAATACGTACATGCGCGTGACCAGGAGGGCATCTAGGAACGACCGCGCGCTGCGTAGAATTGTCGCGCACTAACGGAGACTGCGACGCGCGCAATTGCGAGCTACGGGCGCGGGCGTTGTTACACGAGGCGGGCCGAGCGATCGAGCGGGGCTCTTATCGAGCATCGCTGATAACGAGCCTCGCGCCCGGACCTCAATACGGCGGATTCTGTCACTCGCTATCGATGTTTTTCGGTTAACCGGCGACAATTAAATGGCGGAGACGAGCCTCGGGGGGGAAAAAAAAAGCAGACAGCGCAGCGTCCACGCGGGCCGTCGCGGGACACTGAGAGCCATCGATAGCAAGTTACAGAATCCGCGGTGCTGGTCTCTTTAATTTAACAAAGTGGCTTTTAATCCCGAGCCACGCGGGGGCCGTTTGAAAAGTTCCCGGCGTCAAGTTTTCAATGGCACTCGCGGACGTTAAGCCCGTATCAGACTATCGTATTGGGATTGGGATTAGATTGAAATTTAACCAATCACAGTAAAGTTTACTAATCTTAAGTTCAGTAACTTTTACTCTGATTGGTCAAATTTCAATCTAATCCCAATCTCAATCCGTAGTCTGATACGGGCTTTAAACGGAGAGCCAGCTCTTCTACAAACATGCGTAAAGCTCCGACTCGTGCAGTCAAACAGTTCGTTTTATAGAGATCTTTAAACGGGCGCGTCTTCGAAAACATGAATAAGCTCCGAGCGTCGCGATCAGGTAGTTTGTGAGGAAGGATTTAATCGTCGGCCCGATCTGCATGAATATCTTTTGCCGATAAGCCCTCGTCAAATTTGCGTTCAATAACAAACTTTCCAATTTAACGCGTGGCGTGTCTATTTGTACTTCACTTGGGGAACTTCTCAAACGGCCCTCGTGGAACGGAGAAACGAGATTTGCGGCGCGTTCCGTTTCACGCATCATGCACACAATGCATAATTTATTCTTGTTATTTACCCGACGTTAACTACAGATAAATGATGCATTATGCGCATCATGCGTGAAACGGAACACACCTTTGATCCCGCGGTCTCTCTTCGTGGGTCTTGCTTTTCATTTTAGAAAACCGCACAACAGTTTCTTGCGCGTTCGCGGGCGCGTACGAGAGCGAAAAGAAATTCAATCTGGAGGCGCTAATCCAACGATATTAAATAGAGAAGGTCCATACGTATGTCGGTGTTTTTATAGATACGTAATTGCGGCGGCAGAATCGAAAGTTGCGGCATAAGAACCGAGATTCGCGAGCGGCGAAGGTCGGGGAACTCGCCGAGAGAAATGCTTTCTAACAGCGAATTCGATTGCTTGCACTAGTCAATTTTTATATTTAATTTTGTCTTAAATACACGTTCGAAGTGTTTAGCCAAAAAAAAAAAGATCCGTATGGACGCTATACAGATTTTACTGGCTAAGAAACATTCCAAGAGATATTTAAGACGATCCCCAAGTATAAGAATTGACGGTAAACAAGTCTAACCCGTGTGGCAAATCAAACTCGTCGGTGTCTAGTGATTGTCTAATTATTTGGAGTTTTAACTCATCACTGTCTAGTTTTATTACCTCATAATCAGGTATAAATGTAACGCTTTTTTATGCGAGTGGTAATGTTGCAAGCGTTTATCGAATTATTAGGTAAGAAAGAAGCGTCGCTGCTATACAAAATCTCTAGATAATGTCTAGAATTTCTAAATACTGTTGTCTCGCAACTAGAAAACTAAAATAGTTCGTGGCTGACTAGTAAAAATTTTCCATCGTTTACCTGCACTTGTAATTCCAGATTATTGCTATAAATTGTGTCATTATCTGTACATTTTATAGATTATTAAATACTTTTATTTCACTTTACCTCCTTTGTAACCATTGAAAAAAAAAACGGTGGCATGTATCGGGATTAGATCCTGGAATCCTTGTGTTACGAACCATGTACGTTTCTCACTAGATCAAAGTCAATTTGATGTATATGGTAATACAGAAAGATCAAGTTCTTCCGTTCAATGTCACAGTGAACTCCAAATAACGATCTAGTCACTGGTTAAAAATTTTAAGTATGATATACATTGAAAAATCAGGCAAATGACAATAACAGTACTAGCTAGATATTTAATATAGTCTACACTAGCTAGCTACTAGCATTTGCCTCAGTTTAAACAAGCAGTTTTCCACACGGGAACAGCGAGTTCGATTGCTTGCACTAGTGCGCACTAAGGTCTGCTTATAGTCAATTTTTATATTTAACCTTGCCTTAAATACACGTTCGAAGAGTATTTAGCCAAAAAATAATCCGTATGGACGCTATACGTGATTTTACTGGCTAAGAAACATTTCAAGAGACATTTAAGACGATCCCTAAGTATAATTGACTGTAAATAAGTCTAACAACGAATTCGATTGCTTGCACTAGTGTGCACTAAGGTCTGCTTATAGTTAATTTTCATATTTAACTTTGTCTTAAATACACGTTCAAAGAGTATTTAGCTAAAAAGTAATCCATACGGACGCTATACAGACTAAGAAACATTTCGAGAGACATTTAAGACGATTCCTAAATAGTATAAGAATTGACTGTAAACAAGTCTAACAGCGAATTCGATTGCTTGCACTAGTGCGCACTGAATGCACACTAAGACTTGTCTATAGCCCATTCTTATATTTAATCTTTGGTTACGGTCAAGCTGCTACAAATGCTTCCAAGTGTTTCTCTTCTCCTTCAATCTTTTCTGAAAGATAGGAAAAAGAAGAGTACTTTGAAACATTTGGAGCGACAGCTTGACCGCAGCCTTTGTCTTAAATACACGTTCGAAGAGTGTTTAGTCTAAAAAATGATCCGTATGGACGCTACAGATTTAACTGGCTAAGAAACATTTCAAGAGGCATTTAAGACGATCCCTAATTGTAAGTATAAGAATTGACTGTAAACAGGCTTCAGTGTGCATTCAGTGCGCACTAGTGCACGCAACCGAATTCGCTACAAGTTTAACGTCCGCGCAGTAGCGATTTTCTGCAGTTTTTTCGCCGAGGGGGCTGCCTCGTAGCGAGTCTCTCTCGTGCGAAAACGCACAATGCGGCACGTTTAAATGCGACACGTGTGAGTTATGTTTGTTACCTGGTTGCGCACGCGATCGTCGCCGCGGGCGGACTCTCGTCGTTAGAAAGGAATGCCGCGCCTCGGGTTTTACGACGCTATTGAATCAATTCCAGTAATTACACAGTAATTTTCACCTGTCGTCTTTTTAACATTTATCGTGTGGATCTGCTGGTTTTGTAGACGCGACACACGCGACTCTCAGCGAGATACGTTTTTACCGTGATTCTTATATTTTGCACGATAATAGAGAGCGTTTTCCTAGCGAGTGCATCCGTTTAGTGAAACGGTAATTAAGTTTGTGTATCGTTACTGTTCTCAGGCGGACAAACAAATTTCTCACGGTGGATAACACCGACGCAGCGCACAGTTAGTGCTGAAATGTCAGATATTTGCTTTATTGTCTGTAAGAGATAAGCGTATTATAACACAGATATTTACATTGAAAGCACTTTAATCGCGACATCTTATCAGACATTATCAGATACGTTTCGATATACTATCAGGCGACACGTTTTAATAAGCAACCGTAATTACCGTAGATAAATATGTTATTTAATACGACCGTATTCTTCAATATTTAAATATAAATTTACTTGAGCACCGCACTCTTGGGAACGCGAATTTCCTCGGATCGCTTTGCTCCACGCATTCCGGTGAATGCACAAAAATATGTCGCACACTCACCTGAGACGTTTTCTTGCACGCAAGCGCCAGGCTATCGTCTTTCGCCTTTTTCCACTTTTCATTATTGTTCTGGATAGCTCCGAGGGTTTCTTTGAAATGCTTAGCTTTGAACTTGCTGTGTAAACTAGGTAAATTCGTATCTGCGGACATTTTTGCATTTTTGAAAAGCGCGAGTACGCGCGACACGTCTCAGCCTCGCGAGGGTAGACGCGGATGCTCACCAATGTACGACAGAAGAAGACTGGATTGGTACAAATGCTTGGTATAAATGGAACTCCAAGTAGTGAAGCAGAGTGGCTCCGTGACCAGGCAGTCCGCGAGAACCTTAATCAGCTCGTGCCTGTAATTTGGATCCGATTTCTGCGACACTTTCCCCATCAACATCTCGAACAACTTCGTGTAACATATGTCCTTGTTCCTAAACAGTATTGCCTGCAATAGACATCGGCATTAATCCGCGCGTATCGTATTTTACGATATTTATTTATTAGATTAGAATACGCCTATAACTCGCGCCCCCTTACCCTCAGCCTGTCGATACTCGCGCCGAGGTCCTTCCCCAGACTCGCGGGTTGAATGTTCTGAAACCTCTGAGAGTAGGTGTCCACGATGATGCTCAGATACAGATCCAGACTGAGATCGTGGACGTTGTCGTGCCCGAAGACCAGATCGTTGAGGATCTGCACGACGTAGCTGGCGTAGCCCTTCGCCTCCAGCATCGGCGACATCACCTCGTGCCAGATCTTCAAGCCGACCGCGAGGTCCTTAATGCCGGCCTGCGACCAGGCCCACAGCAGGGACAGGCCGACGTTCTTCCTGTTCTCGTACGAGTTCCGAATGGTAATCAGCTTGGGAATGTTGGCGGCGGTCATCTCGGGATTCAAGTGCGCCAGCAGTTGCAGAAATATCTTGTGGCCGACGACGGGTGTCCCCTTGACCATGTCGGTGGCCATCGCGGTGAGGGTGTTCTCGTAGAAAATTTGTACGCTCTGCTGGCCCGTCATCTCCACCGCCCGCTCCAGGATGGAGGAGATCGCCTTAGGTACTAAACTTAACGGGTAATCCTTGGGTTTTCCTGAGAATATTACGTCTTCCTTGTTTACGGGTATCTTGATGTTGAGGAAGGCGTCGAGCTCCTTCAGCCAGAGCAAGGGGGCCTCGGGAAATCTGACTTGCGCGGTGGCCAGGAGTTCGTTGAGCTCCTGCGCGTTGATCTGCGTACGTTGCGAGGAATTAATTAGCAGCGCGCGACACGACGTTTCACGAGGCTATGGCAATTTGCAGTAGAAATCGACTTGCTTTCTTTTTCCTAAGTATTACGAATTTACGCCGAGCTAGAGGCGGTCTTACCGCGTTCAACGCATCCTTGACGGTCTTCGGAGGTTTCTCCTTCGGCTCTTGTTTCTTCTTCTCAACATGCTGCTGCTGCTGCTGCTGCTGTTTCTGCTGCTGCTTCCTCCTCTCCTCATTCTCCTTGGTCTTGTGCTCTTTCCCCTGCGCCTTGGCAGGCTTCTTGTTCTCCTTGTTTCCGTCCAGATTGTCGTACAGCGTCTTCACTTGACTCAACGGCACTGAAATTGCATGCGTGTTAATGTCGAACGCTTGACTTTCTCGACGCGGGAACAAAAAGCCGAGTGAAAAGTTAAGCGAAAGCGAGCGAGAAGCTGGGCAGAACAGCTCCAGGCTTGGAGCAAATTGTCCCCCGGGGCCCGCGGGACAACTGCAACGGTACGATTTGTCGCGGACTGTCCCCGTGTCATTCCGTATCGGAGGCGAGTACTTTGATCGCAAACGAGCGCCGCGAGACAGCAGGTATCGCGCGCGGTTGAGGCAGGTCGGGCGCTCGCCCGGGGTCGGCGTCGTCGCCTCCCCGGCGGCGATACGTCACCGACGTCGGCGGATATCGCAGCGAAATGGAGCGGAAGGCAACGGGGAGGCCGACCGCCCCCCTGAACGGGGGTAGAAAGCGGGCAGGTTATGACAGGCGACTCACGGAAGTCCTCGACTTTCGGCGCGTTCTCGATGAACTTCTTCTTCTCGGCCTTCGTCAGCTTGTTCGTCTTGTCGTTGCCCCTGTCCTTCTTCCTGCTGACCAGCTCCCAGCTGCCGGACGACATTTCGCGGCGAAAACGTAAACGCGATTCAACGACAGTAGTACAGAACGATGACGCGCACGCACACGTACGCAGGCGCTTAAGGCGAGAGAGAGAGAGAAAGAGAGAGGGCGAGAAAGAGACGACACGGAAGGCACTGAAGTCGGCCGGAGAAGAGCGCAGCTGGAGCGCAATGCGCGTCGCTCGGTCCCGTTGGCCAAGTGTCAGTCACAACAGTGGTACGTGGTCGCGCATGCGCACTCGCGCGACTGCCACGCGCACCGGCGACCGCGTATCGCTCTCGCGCTCTCGCGCCACGTACTTGTTTGTTTTTCTGCTCTCTCCCTCCGACGCCACGGGCGCGAGATAGCGCGAGCGGGAAGAATGGACGCACTTGCGTTGAGAGGGAGCAAAAAGGGGGAGAGAGAAAGAGATAACGCGCCGCGGACGAGGAAAAGCGCGGGTGTAGAAACCGAGTTTCGCTGATCTCGCGCGGCAAACGTCGCCGGTCGCCGATTATCAGCTCCGAGAGCGACCGCGCTCGAACTCCCCCTAGCTAGTCTCGATCGTTTATAAAGTGATATTTTAAATTTCTCTTCTTTTTTTTTTTATACAGGGTGTCTGATGCAAAAGTAGCCAACTTGAAAATAGTGGTAGATTGGGTTAAACTAAGGAGAAATATCAAGTGCCGCGGTACAAAAGTAACAATGGTTATCGAGTAATTAATTTACACGTCTGAGCGAATGAGAATGCCGAAGACGGTAGGCCGGACTCGGAAGGCATTTAAGAAAATCGATCGATGAGCGGGAGGTGGAGCGACGCGCGAGATACACCGTGGTGGAAAAAAACCTAGGCCCGGCGGGGAGCGCGGCGCGGGCGGCGAACGCGAGCGACCCGAAACATAAACATAAGGCCTGTTCTTTATTACTGCACTACTGAACTAGTGCAATAAGTTAAAATGAAACAAATAGATTACCTCTCATTCCAACTCATTGCACCAGTGTGCACTAGTTCAGGAGTGCAGCAATAAAAAAGTAAAAAACAGACCCATAGTATCTCGCGTGTCGCTCCACCTCCCGCTCATCGATCGATTTTCTTAAATGCCTTCCGAGTCCGGCCTACCGTATTCTGGGCCTAAATTCCGTACACGATTACCGACGACCATCGATACGTTAACGACGTTTGCGCAGCTTTTTCTACATGATAGAAAAGCTGCGCAAACGTCGTTAACGTATCGATGGTCGTCGGTAATCGTGTACGGAATTTAGGCCCTGCATCCTCATTCGCTCAGACGTGTAAATTAATTACTCGATAACTATTGTTACATTTGTACCGCGGTACATGATATTTCTCCTT